TACAGTTAAAAATAGACTGTAGCTATAACACTCCAGCTGCTTTTAAGTAGAAATTCCCATCACGAGGACTGATAGGAATATGTTGAGTAACTACAGGAGAAATGGAAAACATAATTTCCTAAAATTCTAAACACTTCAGAAATGTGTAGTTTGACAGATTCTTATTACATGTTAAAAAGTTGGGCTAGCTGATTTCAAAAGCATTCAATATTCTGGAAACTAACAACACAGTTCAAAATGCTCTTTTAGAGATCTAATAAAATAGTCCTAAATATAGCCAACTTAATGAGAGATGCTGGCAACTAAAGAAAGAAGGATAAATTTTCTTTTATTAAAGTTTTCCTTTGAACACCTACTTACTAAAAAAATAAACTATCCATAAATACACATGTTCTCTATGGTTAGTTAGTAGTTAAGGGAAAACAGTCAAAATCTTAAGAATGTATTGTTTTGATATGAAAACAGCCAAAAGATCAATATGGTATAACAAATTATAAACATAACAACTGTAGCACACACTTAGACTCTAGTGGGGTGGGAGAGTAGGACTTAAAACCTTGCAGATGTTTTGCCTTGAAGAACAGTGAGGAGTAAATTAGTAACAGCGAGTTTAGGAAAGACAAGGGGGTTACAGGAACTGTTCTAGGGAATGAGTCTCACTGGGGGGTCTTAGTAGGGAAAGTGTCAAGTTAAATCCTTCCCAGCTGGTTGCTTAAGAAAGGATTCTCCTGTTTTGCAGTTAAACAGAAAGAAAAGCTACATAAAGGCCCTATGGATAGTGATGGGATCACATTAAACAGCTACTTCTTTAAGGGTCACTAACGCATTATAACTGCTAATCAAGTGAAGAATGAGACTAGAAAATCACTGAAATATCAGACACTTTCTCCATATGGCTAATGTTTAATGTTGAAAAATGACTACGTATACCTTCATATATAAGCAAAAGGTCAAAAATTTAACTATGATCTAAGTGTTTAGTTCCCAGCAAATTTCAGAATTTTGTGCCTTAATTTGTTCTTTATCTTAAAAACAAAGGAAAGTACAAGTTACCAAAGTAAATAAGGTAAAAAATGCATAAATTCATACCCATTTTGCACACTGACTTGTATCTTGTAACCATTTCTCTTAGTGTATATATCTAAAATAGTTTACTACTTTACACAGCAAGATGAAACTTTCATCTTTACACAGCAAGAGGAAACTAGTAACTTCTCTATTTCTTCCAGGTAAAACGGGAAAAATTCAATGAAGTAGATGCTTTAAGTAACCTTACACTATAGCAAGAGGTAAGCAGAAAGAAAAAACAAAACTATCCTAAATATCAAAATAGAAAGTAACATTATACTATCCTTTCTCCACTTCTCTGTTAAAAATTAAACTACTAAAGTAAAATATATGAATGGAAGAAAGACTTCAAGTAAGAAGTATTTTAGTGTTTTATATTAAATGACAATCAATTTGCACGCTCTTAGACCCAACAGAGAAAATCAGTTGAAGAAAGGCAAACTTAAGGCAATATTTTTGATTCCCCCCCCCCCCCCCCGGTAAATACATTTGGACTGGTGGAAATGGACCGCAAGACAAAGGCTCTTATGTGCCTAGAATTAGGAGAGACAGCACCAGCAAACCTGTTCCCTAGTAAAGTCAGTGCTATCAAAGGAAGAAAGACAACTTTTTTAATGAGTTTATGCTCTGAATCATTTCCTTTTGGAATGCTTCAGGTCATATTCATATCCTCTGGGTACAGTTTTCATTTCTAAATTAGAAATACAAAAAGTTAGCATAAAAGAAAGTGTAATTTTTGATTGTTTTTCACATTATTCAATCATTATCAAGGTTAAATGAAACTGGGGGGGGGGGGTGGCCCTAGCTCAGGCCTTTAAATGGCTGCTTCCACAAAGCTGTCAGCCTCAGGTTGCTGGAGTTCGAACCTCACACCTCTCCAGCTGGCCAAAAGTGCCCTGAAGGCATTCGAGGAACAAAAAAAAAAAAAGCCTTATTCCATTTGTACAGCAATTAACCACTAAGAAGAATATATGCAGTGTATTATTTGTTGAAAAATTAAAAAAAAATAAAAATAAATTTAAAAAAAATAAATGAAACTGGGAACTACAGTTGACATCAAAGAAAGTGGTTCAGGGTGCTACAGATAGATTTCACAACTCTCAATACAAGAGTGTTCTGAAACGATACAGCGCATTTCTCTCATAAAGCGACAAGTAGGCACTTCGATCATATAAAATACAGGGATTTTTTTTTTTTTTAAGTAGAAAAATCATCTACAATTCAAGTACACCAAACTGTTGTACTTTAATTAGAAGTACCAATGTGGCTCTTGTTGAAGTATCCTAGGGATATCCTTGTAGTTCTCACCTGCTATTTGGTTACTTTACAAAGTCTACTTCTAAAGACTACAGGTAAAATAAATAGCTCTCAATTGAAGATCTGATTTTCAAAATAACTAGTTCTATTCTGACATCCACAACAAGTTTCAAATGAAGGAGATAATCTTCCATTTATCCCACACTTCCAGGTGGGAAAATAGTAGCACTTTTTTCACACATTACATATAAACTTAAATTCTCTTATTTATAAGGGTAAAGGAGTTCCATAAGACACTATTATGCTTGATTCTGACAGTTTATTTTAGATTTTATTTTTTAACAATCTAAAGACTGAGGGAGAAAAATTAGTTTTTGCGTCTTTATTTATTTATTTATTTATTTATTTTTTTGTGGTACCAGGGATCAAACTTGGGACCGTGTGCTTGCCAGGCATATGCTTATGCCACTGAGCTATATCCCTTACCCTAAGAGAGAAAAATTAGTTTAACAATTGGTTTTAAAGGTACGGCTAAGTAGAACTGTATATATATATTTGTGTTTATTGATACATACACACAGGAATTAGGAATCAGAAGTGGTTCTAAACTGCCTTATAACTTAAAACATTGAAGAGTTATATATTTTTATAATGTTATATAGACAGACTTGAGATTTATAATATTTACTGAGGGGCCAGGGAGACAGCTCAGTAGAATAAGAGCTTCCCTGGCAAGTGCAAGGGCCTGAGTTCAATCCCCGGTTCCACCAAAAAATAAATAAAATATTCATTGCAAGTATTATTTCCAATAGCCAAAATGTACAAACAACATAAATATATTTCATGTGATCAGTTGAAAATTCTGTGAAACACACCCAATTAAGGAAAAAAAAAACTTTCTTTGAATATCCATCAACTAATGATAAAGTAAATATGGTACTTAGAATTTTTTTGTTTGTTTGTTTGTTTTTTGGTTTTTTTTGCGGAACCAGGGATTGAACTCAGGGCCTTGCACTTGCCAGGGAAGCGCTTATTCCACTGAGCCATCTCCTCGGCCCCCCTTAGAATTTAAAATAAATATTGTTCAGCCTTTAAAAAGGGGAAAGAACTCCTACCATTTGCAACAATATGGATGAACTTTGAGGACATTATGCTAAGTAAAATAAACTAGTCACTGAAGAACAAATACTACATTAGCTTACTCAGAGCATGTAATTAGTAAAGCCCATGGAAAGCAAAGACTAGATCGTGGTTGCCAGGGAATAGGGAGAGGGAAAACAGTTGTAATTTACTGAGCAGAGCACAGTAAGCTGCAGAGATCTGTTATTAACATTATGCCTATAGGTAACAATACTGTATCACACTCAAAAGTTAGGAGTGTAGATCTCATGTTTTTACCACAATAGATAGATGTGGTAGATGCTGATAGATGCTGATGTCCAAGAATAACTGTTATTCCTTCAATTATCAAGAAGATTTCCCTGAGGAAGAGCCAGAAAGCTAATCTATAACTAAGTTGTTTGTATGAACATCCCAAGCTAAAATTTCCCATTTAATAAATTTTTCTATTAAAAAGAGTATCCCAATGGTTAGTCTAGAAATATTAATAATATATCTTTAAAGTTAACTGTCATTTATAGCATAATTTCTTTTTTTGATGCCGGGAATTGAACTCATAACCCCACACTTGCCAGACAAGCACTGTGCTGCTGAGCTACGTCCCCAGTCTTCTACCATAATTTCTACAGGAAAACACACTGTGATATACAAGTGAGCAGTAAACAAAGCTTTCTTGTGTACACTTAAGAATGACAGTGTATGCCAGATGACAGAAAGCCTAAATCAAGAGTGCACTTGTGTAAATCCTTCCTGTACCTGTGGAACAAAAGTACATTGCATTAAAAATGACCAAAATACTGAAAGCCATACCTGATTCCAGAGAGACTATCAAAGGCATGAAGATCTAGTATGTTGGCAAGATCAACTCTAAGAGAAAGAAAATTTATGTGATCAGTTGAAAATCCTGTGAAACATACCCAATTAAGGAAAAAAAATTTGATCAAGACATAAGCATAAAGATCAATCAAAATGTAGTATTTTGGAAAATGCATAAAAATATCAAACAAGAAACAAAAATGCTACTGTAAATTTTTTTCCATGTACAATTCTTAAAAGTGGGTGCATCTAGGCAAAAATTTAAGTTACTGCTTCAGCAAACTACAGTATTTTTGTTCTAATCACTCTCAATTGTTTTTTCAATCCTGAAATCTAATTTATGAGTTTTTCAAATGCATTTTTATTGCTCACCCCCACAAAAAAAATAGCTAAAAAACTAAAACTTTACAAGCAGCTTATAAATTTTAAAAGAAAAGGTAAATAGAAGTAACACAGTAGTATATTTATATTCCAAATATCTTTGGAGTTTTGTATTTCTTTCATTCTTTTTCCCAGGACAAAACAGGTAACAAGGCAAGGAGTCAGGGGTGGAGGGTATAGCTCACTGACAGAACATGACTCTGGGTTCAATCCCCCGACCACCAGCACCAACAACAACAAAACAACATCAAAAAACACAAGGAGTCAAATAACCAGTGCATAAATATTAACTCACTCTAGATACTATCTACATTTAAGTTTGATTTCTTTTGTTCACAATATGGTTGTAAGTGGAATGAAGTTTCCTATTCTATCAGAACAGATATTTCTCTCAGAATTATTTAGTGATAAACTTTGTCAGGAATTCAGTGATTCAAACTAGGTAACAACAACCTTTCACAATTTTGTATTTTGTTTAAATACATAAAAGCAAATTTATAAAGGCAGATGACTGGTCTCCAAATCTAATATAGGCCGATATAAGAGTAGAAGACAGTGACTTCTCCATAATCAAAGCTAAAATAAAGACTAAAGAAAATGCCCGCAGTGTAATTAAATTTCAAAATTGGACTCCAGATGCTTACCTAATATTTACTAAATTTTCACAAACCAAAAGCTCATTTGTCAGATTCAAGATTTTTTTAAAACACACAAACATGAAAGATAAAGCATCTCTTTAACTCAGGACTTCCCAGCTGTGCCTGCTGTGCTCACTTTGAGCAGTCTGCCATCCATTCATACGTGTGGCAACAATGTTCTGTTCCACTGTGAGCGTTTGGCTTGGCACGAACAGATGAATTCCCAGTTATGAAAATAAGAATATGCCAAAGTTTTATGTTAATAGTCTGTAACATTTCAAATTCTGGACATTCTAGATGTGCTGAATTAAGAGAATCAAGCAAAGAAGTAACTGTCCCTTCAAAAAATGTTTAAGTATCGATTTACACCAAAACCAAAGGCTTAACGTTAAATGTTATTTCATTTTTCACCTTCACAGTTGAGCAAATATTTACCCTAACAAGTAAAAGTTGAAGTTTCCTAAGTTTATCATCTTTACAGAACAGCTTAAAGTTTAATAAGCATTACACATGGCAATTATGTGAAAATTTAATTGTTTTAAAAAGCAAACTACTACACACACTGGTATCTCACTGTGACAATGTCCTTTAGAACACTCATTGTTTAGAGGTAGGTTTGTTTTATACAGATTCCTGTCATTTTCCAGACAGGGTCAATAATGAATCTGATCACACTCTACAGAAAATATCAAAGTCTCTCAACAAATTCTCAATAGAGAGTAAAAAGGAGAAAAAAACTGAAGCTTCCAGATGGAAGTTTTTATGAATTTTCCCTGACATCAGTATTGCCATGAAAAATTTCTCACTCATTCAAGATGTGTGACTAGAAAACTAATTTTCATGGTCTCAAATGTTTAATTTTCTCCTTCAGAAATGAAAAAGAAAAATCAGCGATTTTCCAAACACTGAATCGGGGGTGGGAGTGGGGGTGAGGGTGATTTAACACATTCTCAAAGGGGACATAATTCTTATGGTACACCCATGACTGTCCTACTGGATGGCATGAGACATCATGCATGTACCACCAGTGTTTAAAGCCAGTGAGACCACGTTAACAATTAAGTGGGAAAACAAAGGAGAGAGAAGAAACTTCAAAGGTTTATTTTTCTCTCAACTTATTGAAGTACTCACTGCAGGTACTACTCTAAAGATACTATTAATCATCTTTACAAACTTCTATGAGTCTCTCAACAGGGAATTCCAGA